TCTACTCTTCCCTTGTGATAAAGAGGATGGAGACAAATTCCTCCAAAATCTATAGCAACATTTTCCCATAACACAGTTATCAAGTCTCAAAACTAGAATTTTGTGCTCAGAACACAGACTCTAGATCTTTGAATTCTGCACTTGAAACTCAGAACCTAAAGCTTAGAGCTTAGGGTAAAAATCCCAGAGCTCAGATCTCAGAGAATAGAGGTTGGAACCCAGAGACAACCCCAGGATTTAAGTAATAGATGATAGGGCCTTGGCTGCCTCTATCCACTTATCCCTACTGCCCCTACTGAATTTCCACTCCCATCACCTCTCCCTAAAGCCTCCACCAAGTTCCACAAGATCTGGGTCTCTACCAGAAGAGACATTTCAGGATCTTGAAGAACGACAAGGTTCAAAGTTACACAAAATTAAGTTTAAGTCCTGGCTGTGCCACCTACTAGCTTCATGATTTTAGGAGATTAACATTCCTTTAACTTGGAATCTGATCTATAGTAAGGATAGTACCTATCTACAGGAAATAGAGATTCGAATGTGAAGAATAAAGTAGTAAGTTTGTTTGTTTATTTGTTTTTAATTGGATGTACCACACAAGATAATTATCTTCATCATAAGTTCTACTGCAGGTCCAAATTTCAGATCCCAAAAATAGATTTTCTTTTTCCCTGCAAAACCTGGCCTTCCCATAAAGTATTTTCTTTTACCTCTTCCTCATTCAGTTTCAAATAGAATGAGGGTGTATTGAGGGAAGGAGGGAAGGAATCACAGGAGAATTCTCTCCTGCTTCTATCAAGTGGTGGAATGGGTACAGGGAGGCAAAAGATGATGGTCATAGAGAAATTATTTTCTTCCTCATATGAAGCTCTGACATATCAGAGGGGCAGTTAAAGATGATCCCCTTCTGCTTCCCATTATTGTTGTAGGATTGATTAGGTCATAAATAAAGAGCTGGAAACAAGGATATGGAATTCTCAGAAAAATGCAGACAACAGCCTTGTGAGTAAGGTCAAAGAGCCACGGAAAAAGAAGACTTAAATGATGCCTTAGATTGGAAGTAAGTATCTGACAAGGAGAGGCAGGGCTTCTAGAAGTCAAGGAGTGAAGTGACTTTGGCTTTATCACTAGAGGCAGCATAAAGGGAAACAAGCATCGGTCTGGGTCCAGTTCCTTTATTCATTTCATTAGTCATTTTGTTGTTTGTTTAATTCACTTAAGTATCTGACAAGGAGAGGCAGGGCTTCTAGAAGTCAAGGAGTGAAGTGACTTTGGCTTTGTCACTAGAGGCAGCATAAAGGGAAACAAGCATCGGTCTGGGTCCAGTTCCTTTATTCATTTCATTAGTCATTTTGTTGTTTGTTTAATTCACTTGTACTTGGTGTGCCAAACTCTATGCTAGGAGCAGAGTTGTAGCTTTGACTGTCATTTGTTTTTTCACCTTTGAAAAGTTCTTTTTCAGGACTCAGTTTCTGACCTCCTTTAAATAAAAGGATAACTCAATGAGAGGATAAGAAACCCTAAATACTCATTCACTCTGATAATCGTAATGCTAAACATAATATCTGTAAAAATCTCAAGACAAAGAATTTATTATAAGTGTTAAAAGTCATCTGCAGGAAAACTATGAAACTATTTCCCCAAAAAAGTTTAAAGAGAAAATTAATATGTCTTGTGTGTAAATGTAACTTTCCACAGTACAGCAAAGCAAAGATAGACCCAATCTGCAGGTAAATGTTTGGTAGACCAGAATACAATAAGTTTAAACATATTCTGTCTCAAGAAGAAAGAAGTTAATGTACTTGAAGAAAAGAAAAAGTCTCAGCAGAGTTCCTAATCAGGGGACTTGTACACACTGAAGTTTCATTTACAAGTACTCTTGAATGATCCCCCAACTCACTGTGACAACCAACTGTTTTTGTTTTGTTTTGTCTTGCTTTGTTTTTCGTTTGTTTGTTTGTTTTTTCTCTGTGTACGTTCTCTTTGCCTAGATGGCAGCTCTACAATTGGAGTTCATCTGAATTTTTGATGTCAAGTAGGTTGGGATGGTGGGGTGGGAATTGGAAAAAAAAAGAAAGAAAGGGAATCACATTATGGGGAATTGACTGTGGAGTGGCTGGGGATTTTTTTTTTTTTAATCAAATTCTTCTCTGAGGCTATTTATGTTCCACCCACACTATGTTTTGAAGGTAATAAAGCTGTAATTGCATTCTCTTCACTACCAATACCATATGCTTAATTGGAAAACTTTAAAGTTGGGAAAAAATCTTTTAAAAGTCATTCACAAGCTGACTTAGGCAATCTCTTGAGATATCGTTCCCCCCCCCAGATTCCCAATATGAAACCTCCCCTTTGTCTAAACAAAGCTATATTTTCAAT